TAATGTCATTTTGTGTAAAACTGCCGTTTTCTATTTGAAAATATCATGGAGATGACATTTTTACTTTTTGAAAATGTCAATTTGTTTGAAAAATAGTTGATAAACATCATTTTATCTATTTATCTTTATTATTTGATATTTTGATGAGGGGATTTTGTGAAATACGTAGTACGATAGTATTTGATTATGTGAAATCAATAAATGCATCTCCCATATTTATCTCATAAGGTAAACGGTTCTAAAAATCAGGTGGGCAAACTGTATTTGTTATCTAATAAGTTTCTCTCGTTTGAAGCATGCTGCATGCGGTTATCAACTTATAATTATTTAAATAATTATATGATTGTACAAAATTGTAAACATGTGGTTTTCTCCTGTGATTGTTATCTGATGTTTCTCCCGGGATTGAAGCATGCGGTTGTCTAAAAATCAGGTGGGGAAGCTGTATTAGTTTAAATTGTAACAATTTTGGGCTCCAATTCACCCCTCGAACTCGCCAAAAAAATTCAAATCCCATTTTTTGCAGGTAAAATTCCGGTCATTGCCACGTCAGCCGGTTAGATGTCAACCGTGCATCCCAGGTGGAAATCTAAGGGGTCTATTAACCCGACAAAGTTGTTCAATTTACCCCCTCAAACGTTGAAAAGTGTCCAAATTGCTATTAAAAATATGAAATTAAAAAATAGAGAAAAAATAAAATAAAATGATATACAAGTTCATAATATAAAACATAGATGTCTATTTATAATATAATAAGACAATTTTTATATTTCAGGGTAAATTATATATAGAGAGAGAGACATAATGAAGGCACTTATTTTTTAAATACATATTATAAAAATGTAGTAGTCCCTAGCTATTTACATATTATAATTTTTATATAGTACAAAATTTTTATGTTAAATATAATTAGTATGAAGTATAGTACATAGTATATGATTCTAGAATAAAATAATATGAAGTATATATACATATATGCATGTGTGTGTAATTTTGCATATAAATCTAAAACATATTAAACAATGAAAATAGTTTTAATGAATTTCTTTGAATTTATTTTATATGAATTTACTATAAATATAAATATATCCTTATTTTTGCGTTAAATTGACATAAAAAAAATTCATTAAAAATATTTTGATATTTTAAATCCATTTAAAAAAATCAACAATACATTTTTTATAAATTAATAATAAATTTTTTAATATTTTTTCATATTATAAATAGACTCATAAATATTTAAAATATTAAATTTACCCTAAAATATAAATAATTTATTGTCATATTATAAATAGACTCATATATTATATATTATGAACTTGTATATTATTTATATTTATATTTTCTATTTTTTATTTTTTATTTTTTAATGGCAATTTGGACACTTTTTAACGGTTTAGGGGGTAAATTGAACAACGTTGTCGGATTCAGGGGTCTATTTGACCCCTTAGATTTCCACGTGGGATGCACGGTTGGCATCTAACCGGCTGACGTGGCAATGACCGGAAACTCACCTGCAAAAAATGGGATTTGAACTTTTTTGGCGAGTTCAAGGGGTGAATTGGAGTTTTTTTGAGTTCGGGGTGCGAATTGAGCATTCCGAACATGTACAGGGGCCCTACTTGACCCTTTAGCCAAATCTAAAAAATATTAATTCTAGTTATTGGATTCAATTGCAATTTAATTAGAAATCAATTTCAATTGAAATGACTCTACTTTATTAGTACTAAAGTAGATATGTTATTTTGTGAAGTAGCATATAATTTAATTGTTCAAAATAATATTCGTGTTTTTGTCTGAATTTTTATAACAAAAATCGTATTATACACGTATACGTATTTACATATTTTTTAAAATCCAACATTTTTCAACAAATTTTGGACCGTTTTTTGCATTCAAGTTATCCAATAAAATTTAACATGTACCTATTAAACCTCGTTTAATTCTGATTCAAATGTGTGCGTACTGCGTATTTAACTAACTGACCACTATTCATCTGTCGTCATGGTTAAGACTTTGCATGCCTGTCTTTTTATAAGACTATTTAACCAATGTAACTAATACGTTGGTGATATGATTTTTATGTGGTATTTCATGTCAATTAAAAGTTTCCATCCAGGGACAGATCCGGGATTTCGAGTCAAGGTGGGAGAAATTTTTCGTTAGTATAAAGGTGAAAATTTTTCGTTAGTGTAGCGGGGTGAATTTTTTTCACTTGTGCAGCAAAGCGACATTTTTTCGCTAGAGTAGGGCTCTGCTACTATTTTTATTCAAAAAAAATCATTAATACATACATGACGACATTCAAATCTATTACATTCAGGGGCGGAGACAGGGGTGGGCCAACCTTGGCCCTGGCCCAGCCCAAATTTAAAAAATGCCTTTATTTTTTGTGTAAAAAATTCCGGGCAAAAAAAATTTCAAAAATATTCTTTGTATCGCCCCTGTCCGGCCCAGTGTGCTGGCTCCGCCCCTGATTACATTATAAGTTTAGACAATGAAAAAATAATTTTGATTTTATAGTTGATGTGCTCTAGAAAAAAAGTGTTGATACATTAAAGTTTAGGAAATGGCAAATCAAAGGGAAATTATTTGAAAATAAAGAAGTATATATAATATTTTATCGGAATAAATGATTGGTTTTTGAATTGAATTGTCTACCAAGTTGGATGCACGTGAGTCACGAGAAGGTTTATTAATATTACAATAGTATGTATGAGATTATTATTTTTACAATAATATATATTGCAATATTCTTTTTGTCTACCAAAGGGAAATGGTGCATATTATATTTGTATTTATGCTAAAATAAGTTAAAGTTTATTATCTATGCAATGAGTTGTTTTTAGAAAGTAAGAAGTATATCGGTTGCGTAATTTAATGTTAAGTATCATAAAAAATCATTTATACTTTGGAGTTTGGATTCAATTCAAACGATTTAAAAACTGTTTAACTAGAGTGTCTGACAATTAAACATTACAAAACTAGGAATTTCTATATAGGAGTAATAAGTATCCTAAGTCTTGAACAATGAGATGTTCTATTGTTTACTTGTTTAAGTTATGAAATTATTTTAGATGCTATATAAATTTTGAAAACTAAAAGTTAAGAGGGGTGAACACATATATATCGAATTAAAGTATAAAATTTTTATGAAAATAATACATATATAATACTCCGTACAAAATTTTGAAAGGGGGACGGTTGCCCCCCAAATCCATCCATGTTTGCATCATATGTGGTATTTCATTATTGTATCATTTCGCTTGGCTCTGAATTTGCTACGATTGGTCTCGGTTCTCTTATTTTTTAGGCATCTCTATGAAACGGAACGTAACTATTTTTAGTTCAACATACACCTTTTTAATTTCCACAACGATTTTTTAAAATATGACTCAAAAAGCATCTCAATAGGCAGTACCATATGTTGAAATTACATTTTCAAGTCGTAAGTTATCATCATGACTTATTAGCAGGATTGAGATTCTCTGCGCGACTAGGAGAGTGCCTTACGCAACCGATAGCCAGATGGGGAGAAGAGCGTCTCGAGATACGCGAAAGAGTGGACCCCAATAATCTCTGACCGTTGAGCTCTCAATCGGACGATCTCCCTTGGCCAGACACCCTACCTTGCTGCTAGAGCAAGGCAGATACCCCAAATCCCATTATTCTGAATTTCTGATTAACTCATTCAAGTCACATTTAATGCATTTTACATTTTTTACATATACTAATATGTTGGTATTTTGTGTATTTGACCACGTAGCCTCTTTTTTTACCATTGCTCTTATTCAGTAAAGATGTGAACAAAACAAGAACACACACTCTTTAATCTGCATGTGTACGTTAAGCGTTGACGCTAAGATTATCTAGTGATGGGCTCAGTCCGGTTTGGTCGGGTCCCGGTTTGATCTAGTTCTGGTATTAGAAAATTGGAGTGAGTACCGGTCTCGTTTCTAGTTCCGAGTCAGGTTAAGTGGTTTTGTGTATTTTTTAATTACCTAATTTATATATTATATACAAGAATTGGTAGACATTAAAAATGAAACATAGATCTATTTATTTTTTGAAACGTAGATTTATTTGAAATATGAATAACAATTGAAGTTTGAGAATATAATATAAAACATCGTATACATTTTCTAATCGTCAGAACTCCCGCCGGTGTCAGTTTTCGTTTCCTCCATGAAGTGGCAGTCGGGGGTGATGAAAAGTTTTGAGTTCTATATCGGGCCATCGATCAATCGTGGAAGCAAATGAGCGTCTCAAAAGATTGTGTGCTCAATCTCGTTCTATAATACGTTGGGACGTTACGGCTTCAGTAAATTCTTGTTGTACGGCTACCATTGAAATCGGGATTGACATCGTTTGCTTCGTCATTTTTGATAAAATCAGGAACATTCCTTCTTTTTCACTCTATCATTGGAGAATGTCGAACCTTTCTCTTTCTTCATACTCACAAGGAAACATTGAATATAAAGAAAACTCATTAATTGAGCTTTGTGCAACAGCGGAAGTTGATGTGCTTTTTTTCAAAAGATTACCAATTGTAGATATAAAAAGTGATATTCCTTTAGATGAAGAAACAGATGGTTTCGGTGGAGGATGTATGGGGTATCTTGTACATAGGCATGTCACCGTAAAAAACAACTAGTACTCTTGAAATGTTTCATAACTAGCAAGTTTGATACGAGGATCAAGAACGAAGGCAATAACATATATAGGCAGAATTAAGGCATAATATTTTAAAAACCTTTCTTTCATGAAATCACAAAATAATGAACATAAGTGGCTTGAGAAAATTCTTTAAAAATACCGGTGAGATTAACTGTGACTAATATGAGAATATTAAAATGCGACAAAATGTGAGAATGTAAGAAATATTTAAGATCATGTAAGAAATTACGAAATATTCAAATGTAAGAAATATTATTTCATGTATATAGGAATGCAAGAAATATTTAAATGCAACTAATAATCAAATGTGACAAAATTTTATATGATAATGTGGGTATTATTAGATGTAGCTAATGTTTTTATGTAACAAGTTTTAAAATGTGAAAAACTAAATATTAAAATCTATAAATAAAAAATGACGGGAATATTACTCCACAGTTTTATAAAAACAAATATATGACCACAATTGAATCCAGACAAAAAAGAGAGCTAATTAAATTGAAAGGCCAAAATTACCCCAGTCTTGTCCACCCCTGTCCACCTCTATCCCATATCCCCGAATCTTTTCCCCGCCCAGTCTCTGTGCGCTAGATCCCAGACTCCAGGCCAACCTCAACCCCAATGTTCGAGCTCTGCCTCCGCCATATCGCCGCCGCCGCCGACTTCGACTGGTTCTCCACTCTTCTCTTTCTTCTTTCTCCTCTTCTCGGTCTCTTGGTGTTGATGGACGAGGTCAGAAATCATCGGTTCTGAAGATAACAAGGCGAGGCGAGCGACGGAGTTGAGTACGTCGGTCAGAGGCGAGATCGAGACTAGGTTTCCAGTGGTGCGCTTAAGTCCTAGGGTTGGAAGCTGTGGGTTGAGGGTTGGGGTCTGGGGTCTAAGTGTGAGGCTAGGTGATGGCTGCTGGGTTCTGAGGGTGAAGCTGGGGGGTTGGGGTTGGCTGGGCGAGTGGAGTCTGCTAGGAGTGGCTTGGGTGGGCTAGTAGGACAGGGGGTGGACTAGAATGGAAAGTTTTTTAGTAAGAGGCTGATAGGGAGGTATTATGTATTTATTGATTTAGATATTCTTTCGAACACTTTGTTTTGTTCACACAGTTTCAATGCCTCTTAATAAGAAGCATTGCTAATTGAGTGCTATTATATACTAATAGATTCATCATACTTATATGAATTTTGATACTTTGTTTTAGTTGAGGGCCACAGGCAAAGAAATAAATCCTGTGAAGATGTATGGTACTTATCACCCAGACAAAAGGAAGAATGGAGAGCTTATTACTTGTGCTTCACACGATGTGATAAAGGTATTCACTTACTCTTTAATTTACTTTGTACTACGTACATATTTTGCTATATACTACACAAACGGTTACATTTAAGCTTAAACTAGAAGTATTTAAAATGTAATATTGTTTAGTTTTATGAAATAATATGCTTCTTTTTTCCTGTAAATGATATGTTTTGTGATGATAAAAAATTGTTGCATTTTTTTAGGGAAAAATTCACACGAATAACCTCAACTATTGACAGTCTTCTCATATTAATCTCAAGTATGGATAATTCTAAAATAATCTGAAATTTATGGTTTGTCTTCTCATGTTGATCCGATGTGACCTACTACTTACTAAACAGGTAAACAAATTAAAAAAGAAAAAGGAAAACAAAGGAAAGTAAATGAAGGACGGACGACTCAAGTAGTCAAGCCTAGCTATGCCTGCGGTCATCTTCCCCATTTGCATTTTTTTTCTGTTTTCTTTTCATTTTTCCCTCCTGCCCCTTTCTTCTTATTTATTCCTTTCTGATGCAATTGACGGATACCACACTAATAAGGAAGAAGAGTTCAAGTGATTTGGGTTGTAGCCATGTTTTCCAGATCCAGGATTGCTCCAACCATTAATTATTCTCTATTGTATTTCTTCTTTTTATGTTCTCCCTCCACCACATCTCATTATCTCCTTCCCACTTCAACTTCATTTTGTTTTACTTCGTATTTTGGTTTTCAACCATCTTCAAATTTTAACATCTTTCTTTGACTTTCAGATTTGAAAAAGTTAACTTGGTCAATCCAAACTCAAATTTGACATTGTTTATCATGAACGATAACAAAAAATTGAATGCTATTCGACCAACAGTTCATGGAGACCAGGCCATCTGGGATGGAAAGACGGATGGCAATTATGAACTTTTGACTGTTTTAGTGCTTTCAAACTAATAGGTGGGATTAATGATATTAACTTTTCCCTTTTTTAGTGATTTCAATTGTTTTAAGTAAATTTGACAGTTTGTGTGTATAAGCTTTTGCCTGAGGAAAGTATGAAACTGATTTCATTTAGTGTTTTACACTTTTAATCTGTTTTGATTCATTGGTGAATGAATTTTGTGTTTGACAGAATTCTTAAGTACAATTTGCATCCAGCAAGCCAAAGAAGTGATTTCTATATATGCTATTTTTGTGTTTGACAGTTTTGGAACTCCCTGGATCGCTATATAGTCACATAACAAGTGTAACATATAGAAGTTTTGTTGTAAAAAAATACCCTGCACAGAACTTTTGTTGTTTGTTTTTTGCAGGTTTACTTATTTTGTGGTTCCAAAATATCAATGTGGCTTTGATATTTTGTAGGTCTACAAAATGTGGCAGAACTCTGTAATATTTGTAGCTTCTATTGGTAGCTATGGCTAAAATAGAATGTGGCATATGGTAGCTTCTATTGTTAAATTTATTTGTAGGTGTACTTATGTTTGTTAGTTTTTATATGTATAGGAGGCTTTGAGTAAATTGTACGATGTTTGTCAAGATGATAGCCCACAACAATCTGAACCTTCAAGTCAAGAGGAAAGCTCTACAACACCTAATATCTCTTCAGCTAAGTTATCTTCAAGATACTTGGAAATCGTTGGGTGCAACAAGAAAAGAGTTCTTGGAACGGGCAGTTATTCAAAGGCTTTCCTTCATCGAGTAAGTGTTTGTAATGCAGAACACTCGTCTTCATCAAGAGCTCGTCGCTTGCATGATTTTTGTGTTTTTTGGGATGCACGCATGAGGGAGTTCTTAATTTCAGAAGGTGATCAACTCCCCCCTGAAATGCCAATTGTGGATGACATTATTCAAGACAAGGAACCCGACTCACAGCCCAAGAACTTTGAACAAACGTGGCTGCCATTTTTGAAATCAATGGGGATCGATGCACCAAGTTTCTTTGCCACATCAGAATCCTCTAAAGACTCCATGGACTCTCTTGATGAATAACTCTCTCATTAGATTTGTGTTAAGTTTGATATTAATGTGTTTTTTTAATGTTGCATTTCACTATGGATTGATGAATGATGAATGATGAATGTTTATTTATTAGCAAGCTTTTGATCAATACATAAAATATTATGTGTTGAAAGTCTATTAGATGTTTTGTGATTTGCATTGAGAATTTCGATCTACATTTTTTGGAATATAAATCTTGCAAGATTATTTTGTTTATATTATTAAAAGTACATATGTTATTAAAAAATAATTTATATATTTAAAAAAACACTTTTCAAAATTATGGGGGGATGTACGTTATTTGGTAATGCTAAATAGGAATTTTAAATTAATATTTCGTTTTATATTTTTAAAGCATATTTAAAAAACAAAATTATTATTTTAAAATATATATCACTGACGGATTTTTGTGGCGGAATATCAGACACTAATTGTAATGGCGGAATTGCAGACACAAACTTCCGCCGCTACTTTGCTTCCGCCCAATTTATCCGACACTAATCCATTTTGTGTCCAGGTTTTAGTGTCGGAACATCCGCCACTAATATCCGACACTAATGACGTTAGTGACGGATTTAGTGTCGGATTTTCAGACACTAAACTCCGAAAGTTCTTGTAGTGGGGGCAGGGGGAGGGGCTGGACTAGACTGGTGGGGCAAGGGAAGGGGCTGGGGTGGACTGCTGGGCATGGGGTGGGTGTGGGGTGTCGTGCAGGGGCAGGAGAAGTGGTAGTCGGGGGCTGCAAGACCGCTGGAGAGAGGATGGGCTGGAAAGGGAGATTATGTGGAGGGTTGGGGGCCAGGGGCGGGATGCGGATGGTTACTGACAGTGCACTGCCAGCCACTGCCAGAGGTCACAATCAAGGCTGTTCGCCACCGTCCACACCGAGAAAAGAATTGATTATTGATCGGCAGGTCACTATGCATGGCGAGGTCACTAGTTGACATGTTACTATGGATGACAATGTCACTAGCCGATAGGTCACTATGGGTGGCGATGTCACTAGTTGGAAGGCCACTGTCGGCGGAAATGTTTTTTATCACTAATATTTTTGTCACTAATAGTTTTAGGATTTTTTGTCACTATAACGATGGTCATTGGAACATAGTAACTGGATCAACATTAATTAGGGTGGTGGTCACTAAAGCGATACTATTTGGGATGATATTTCACAGAGCGGTGGCCATTGTTATTTCACTATTTATGAAATAAAGATAATATAGATCAGAAAAGGTGTGTACATGAGAATATGAGATCTCACGAATAACTAGCCATCGCCAATGATATCTGTACATATTGACATTATAAAAGAAAATATATGAAATGTGTGATTGTAGTCATGGGAACTACTACCCTTGGGATAATCTGAGACGTTAACATATGTGGACGGCGTTCTTGTTATGTTCACTATTAACATATGGGATATAATCATAAAGTTAGTCACATTGGCATTGGTCACTGTTGCATTGGTCACTATAACAAGTCACTATGTCATTGGTCATTCACCGGTGGTAGTAACTAAAATAGTGGTTACTGAAACGGTAGTAACTGTGACGGTGATAATTGAGACGATGGTAAATGGAACGATAATAACTTGGTGATAGTTTAATATGGAGTCATTTAGTCACTGAGGTAATTTGTCCCCAGTCGATGGAGTCACTTCTAGTTAATCACATTCTCAAAAAAAAGTAGTAACATTATACTTAAAAAGACAAATCACTTTACCAAAAAATAGAAACTTTGAAATAATTTCTCAAAAGCCATTTTAAAATTTCACACAAATTTTAGAGTAATTTTAGTATTTAGGTATTTAAAAAAGATATCATATCAAAAACAAACAAGCATTCATTGTTGGGGCTTAATTGTTATGGAATGCATTGTTACTCATTGTTGGGGCTTAATTGTTATGGAATGCATTGTTACGTGCATTATTACAGCTTTGCTATGCTCTAGCCTGCAGTAGCATTATGAGGTGCTCACTGCTAAGCTTCGCCGGTATAAAATAGTTAGAGGGGTAATTTAGTGAAGTAAATGTTTATTGGTCACATTTTTAGAAAGTAAAAAACAAAGGTCACTTTTTTGTCCAAAACCTATTTTTTAGTAATATTCATGTCAAAACCCCAAAAATGGTAGTATCAATGGTACCCAAAAGGTATCATACATTTGTCCGCATGGACCAATCAGAATATTGTAGTTGAATTATTTAAGTCTAAATTAAAAAATAAAAATGATATACCTACTTGAACCAATCAAGAGAATGATAGGTATGATACCCCATTTTTTAAATGGGTACCGGAGCTCTCACCTTGAAAAACATGACTCAATAAGCAAGAGTAGCATATTAGAGCCCAATGATTAGTAAGTATTTAGATGGTTGAAATTATTTTTAAGTCGTAAGTTATCATCGTGACAGAATGATTATGTCATTATTCCGATCAAATCATTCAACTCACATGTAATGCATTTTACATGTACTAATATGTTGTTAATTTGTGTATTTGAGCACCCAGCCTCCTTTTTTTGTCATTGGTTATTAGTAAAGATGTGAACATAACAAGAACGCAGTCCCCATATGTTAACGCCTTAGATTATCCCAAGGGTAGTAGTTCCCATGACTATTCATATATTTTCTTGGGAAAAACTATCAAATAAGTCCTCGTACTATGCCAAAAAAGTCAATTAGGCCCTCGTACTTTACAAACACTCAATTAAGCCCTCGAACTATTAGAAAACGTTCAATTAAGCCCTTTCGGACGGTAAGTAACCGGTTTCCCAGTTAAACGGCGACGACGGCAACGATGTGCTCGAACCCCAGCAACGGCAGTTGCCGGGAAACGGGTTATATTTAACTGGGAAACCCGTTACTTACCGACCGAAAGGGCTTAATTGAACGTTTTAATAGTTCAAGGACTTAATTGAGTGTTTGTAAAGTACGAGGGCCTAATCGACTTTTTCGGTATAGTGCGGGGACTTATTTGATAGTTTTCCCTATTTTCTTTTATAATGTTAACTAGCGGTGTACGCCCTACGTGCGACAAATGCCCAATAATGCTTAACAAGCAACTGCATTTGTGGAATGTGTTATTTTAAGAGATAATAATCAACTTCTAATGAGTAAATACAGCTATAAGCCTATAATTATTAGTGGTTTAAATCCTTATAAACTGAAAAGGTATGATATAAAACTCCAAAAAATCTTTTTGATAAGTAGTGCGTTGGTAAAAATGAAACTAAAGAAAAATGTACTATTTTATAATTTCAGTCCAAGACTAAACAAGTCAACTGAGCAAGAACCTAACACTTTGGTGTTTGTTTTCCTTATTTTTGAATGACCATGCAGCCATGCTTGCAAAAGAGTATGTAGCCTGTTGGCCGTTCAGCTTTAAATTAGGTCAATGCGTCCAGTGGCGGAACTAGGGGGCGAGGCGGTGCTGCCACCCCCGTTCTCCGGTGGTGGTGGTGTATATATATGTATGTATATGTCTCAGCCCCTGTTGATCAAAAGTGTATATTACCGCCCTGGTGGCATATATTAAACAATGGGTATTGCGGTTTACTTGGTAGTTTCGGTATGTTTGAGTATTGTCTTCTCTCATTTCATAGGTTCAAAACCCGAATGCTACTGCATTTTATTTTGCTCCTCTTGCCTTCACTTTTCTTAGTTTTGCACATTTGACTCCACCGTTCATATTCAGACATATCTCTACTAATTTTGTTTAATTGAATCACTATTTGACATGATGCTGCTTAAATCAAACTCCTTAAATTTTTAAATATTTTGTTTTACATTCTTAATTTTTTTTAATAGAAATTACTCCATTTGAGAAATTGTTTTACAAAGAATTAAAAACGTTTGTATATTCCAAAATAGGATTATTGTCATGTTTTTATTACCTAAATAAGAGTAATTATTGTAATGTTTTGAAAGTATCAGACCTTAAACATGACAATAATTACTCTTATTTAGAAAATAGAAACATGACATTTTATCAAAAACGCGGTAATAATTTGGTAAATAAATCAAAGTTTTATCTCATCGTGAAAAAGTGAAAAACAAATATGTCCTTTGTTCTTTATTAGTTGCAAAGCTTTCATTTCATGTTTACCAACGCGCGACGCTGACCATTAATTTTTTTAATTCTCTAATTGTCATAGTTTTAAAAATTACTACCTCCGTCCCCCTAAGTTTGGGACAAAGGGGTGTGGTGTGGTTTTTTAAAAAAAGTAGAATTGTGTGGTTGGTATTGAATTGATAAAGTGTGAATAAAGTAAGAATGAATTCTAACCACTCAAATATTACCAAATATGGTATGAAACAAACTTAGTGGGACGGACAAAAAAGGTAAAACGGGACAAACTTAGTGGGACGGACAAAAAAGGTAAAACGGGACAAACTTAGGGGACAGGGGAGTAACATTTTGAAAATTTAAAGATAGAACAATTTAATTATATTTTATAATTTTTTTATGTATTCATAAATAGAATATAGTCAAAGTAGAACACGTGAATACCAAAAATTTCAAATTTTTTAAATATTTAAGAATGAAGGTAATATTTACTAGTGCACAAGAATAAGTAAAAAATGTAGTCATTCACATTTTCCACTGGAACAACCCCTTTTAATCGAGTCGCACTATATATCTAAAATATTATTTTGTGTAAAGCATTATTCTAAGTACATATTAGAGCACCCCTCGAATTTATCTCTGGTTCCGCCACTTGATGCTTCATTATATTTTTTGACTATGATAATCCTGCTAGTAAAAAGAAGTTGCAACATAATAGAGGAATAGTTAAAATAATCTTTAACAACTGAACTAATAGAAAATTTAAACCCAGAAAAGTAGGGGAGAGGGTTATAAACTACGGAGTAAGTTATTTTTTTCAAATATTTCAGCGTAAGTGCTAAACATTTGCTACAAGTTGAACGTGATTTCTTTGATGTTATAAATATCCGAATTCCGAAATGAGCAAGTACATGAACAAGTTTTGTACTAACACATTGACATTGTAATTTTAAACAGCATGATATTTCTAATGTGTCAATATATCTTTTAAACATAACTGAAATACATTTAACCAATTCAACTTGTGTGCCTTTCTAGTTATATACATAGTATATTGTAGTCCGTATATAATAT